CACCTCTTTCTTGTGGGTTTTAAGCAAACGCGCAGTGGAATGAGAGCAACTAGAGTTTATTTTGTCATAAGGTAGTGTGATTATGCATGACACGAAGTATTTGCTAGTCTAGTACTGGAGAAATTAGCGTTTGGATGCGCATTGTGCGGCTTTAATGTAAATCATAAACCAGTACAATACAAAAATATGTACAAGTGTGTATAGTCAGGGGTAGAATTTAACTTTTGAAACCACTCGCAATTTTTTGCGAGTGGGTCAAATTTCAACTCGCAAAATCCGAAACTCTTGCATTTTTAATATATTTATTTTTGTAGGGTATAATATGCTACATGGTACGGCTGCGTGTAAGCTATACCGAATGCAAACCGGAAGCTATGTTCAGTTTTTGGAATCTTCAAAGCGCTTGAATCCGTTCCATTTATTGCTGTATACAAGTGCCTGTTTTAAATACATGTTACATGTTATAATGTTGAGACGACTTTATTAAACCAGGCTACAAAGCGTGAAGATAGAATACTAGCAAGGACAAAGAGACCCGCGAAGCATTCTATTGTTCTTACAAGAGGCGCCATCGCTTGCGCGTATAAGTACTAAACAATACTAACATAATTATCTTACAGCGCCCAATAAACTATGTCGCGCTTACAGCACTCTCGGTAGTGGCCGAGCGCGCGAGGTTTATAATCCTTACTCAGTTTGTAAACAGTTCGTGTTTATATTTTAGAAATTAGTTGGTCTAGTTCCGTTATGTTGACAACTTGTTACTTTTAAAATGCGTGGATATGGGATGTTGGATTTTGGTAATCATCACAACAGATTATATGTCACTCACACAAAAATGCAAGTGCTTATATTTTCTACTCGCATTTTGCGAGTGTGCGAGCGTTAATTTCGAACCCTGATAGTACTCATATACTAACTGCCATATCATACGGTCTAGCAAGGGGTGCATGCTACATACATGTTTATATATTTATTTTCATGTCTCGCAGCCTTGTTATGTTGGAAGTATCAATGTGTAGTCCACATAACATAAGTGTTTTTATGATTTTTCAGCTACCTGAGAGGCGATGATGAGACAAATAGCTTTGCGATTCATGGACAGAAGGTTGACATAGTAGCAAGCAGTCAGAGTGCTCAGAATTCAGCCCCAAGTAGTAACAAGGTACGAATCCATTCACTCCACTCTCCATTGAAAGGATATATAGAGAAGGCCACCAGTAAGATGAATAATTACACTGTTCTTAGTTTGCAGTTACCTAGCACAATGTTTTCCGTGGTGGGTCAGTAGGACAGGCAAGGCAGGTTTTTTTGCGATTTTCTGCATCTCAGTCGGTGCGTATACAATTGTCAAACGTGGCGTGTACATGCGGTCTTGCACGTGTGTATGTGCGTGTATGTATTTATTCCAATTGCATGTGCAAGTGAGCACACATAGTCACGCTGATTAATGTGCCACATGAAACATCAATTTGTTCCCTTGCTAACAGGTGAAGATTGTACCGGTGGTGACGTACAACTGGGAAACGAAGCTTTACTTTGGGAACCTGATTGCGATACATCAGTCTGGAATCTACGTTGCTTACATCCTTAAAAGTAAGATAGAGATGTTTAATCATGATAAAGCGCATTATTTCTACTGACTTTCTGTTACGTTGGTCCAACCCTACTGCGTACACTCTGGAGCGATGTGCTATTTACTAACTGGGTGAGAACTGTTCCCTGTTCTGGTTTTGTCTGGCGTTTCTATTCCAAAGATAATTCATCTTGTGAAAGTTGTGCTGTGAATTTATTTGTAACTTTTCTTATGGCACAGAAACACCAGGCCCGGATGGGATCGTGCGTCTGGTTAACCGAAAATCAGCAGAGAGGGTGCTGCTGAGGAACTTTGTCGGCTGCGTGTGTGACATCGCGTTTGCCTACATTAACTCGCACATTCTGTTGGCCTGTGTGGACGAACCAGGAAGTCTGTTTGTCTACGAAATCACAGAGGATAATGGGAAAATGCTGTACGTATGCATCGAGCGTAGTTATCACCAGCTAGTGCTATCTAACAAATGACATCTTACAGCAAAACAAGCGAAGATTTCACATCAGTGAGCTGGATACTTATCTTTGTTTACAGTATTTTAGTACGTTTTTATAAGTACCTTTTGTTATGCATATATCAACAAATTTTCATACAATGTACTGATGTATGCAAGAAGAGTAGGTAAATTACAATTATGTGATTATTAATCTTGAGTAAATAATAGGGGCATGAGATCATCTGAAATAGATCAAAAACAAGTCCAGGTTTACTAACCTTCACCTACCGATGATTTATCATACATGACTGTGTAAACGTGAGCTAAAAAGTTCCCTTAAATGTTCAACTAGACTAGCGCCTATTTATTTCCCCCACATGATCATAATATAGATACATAATCTAGAATGTACGGCAAGTTTTTCGATAATTCTTGCAGTAGGGACATACCGTGTAGATTGCCAAATAGGTAACAGTCGATAAGGTCTACATGCAAGAGCTCACCACAGACGGTGATGAGGTTCATGTTATGTTTCATGCCACACTGTCTGATTTTGCAGTACTTTGTCACTAAGCAGCATTTTTAGAACCTTCCATAACACTGATTGGATACAGCTAACCAAATAATTTACACCATTTGCATGAAATCGATCGTGAAAGATCGATTACTACTATGTGATTATGTTGCAGTACGCAGTGTTTGTTGCACATTGATGCACCTAAGACGAGTGAGCCAACGACTAACCATCGTGTCATCTGGTGTCCGTACATCCCAGAAGATCCTACAAGTAGCGACTCTCCGGACGACGTTGGGCAGCTGCTGGTGCTCACCCACGACAACAAGGTGATCTCACATGCGAAGGTTACCGTACAGGTGACCCGCGTACCTACCTGTACAGGTAACCCGCATACCTACCTGTACAGGTGACACACATACCTACCTGTACAGGTGACATGCATACCTACCTGTACAGGTAACCTGCATACCTACCTGTACAGGTAACCCGCATACCTTCCTGTACAGGTGACCCGCATACCTACCTGTACAGGTGACATGCATACCTACTTGTACAGGTGACCTGCATACCTACCTGTACAGGTAACCTGCATACCTACCTGTACAGGTAACCCGCATACCTACCTGTACAGGTGACATGCATACCTACCTGTACAGGTGACACGCATACCTACCTGTACAGGTGACCCGCATACCTACCTGTACAGGTGACATGCATACCTACCTGTATAGGTGACATGCATACCTATCTGTACAGGTAACATGCATACCTATCTGTACAGGTGACATGCATACCTTCCTGTACAGGTAACCTGCATACCTTCCTGTACAGGTGACATGCATACCTACCTGTACAGGTGATATGCATACATACCTGTACAGGTGATATGCATACATACTTGTACAGGTAAACCGCATACCTACCTGTACAGGTAACCTGCATACCTACAGACGCACATAATGTTATAGTGTGAACACACCGATACTATAGCTACACGTGGCAGTTATGTGCCATCGTCTTTCAACAATATGCGATTTGTGTTCTGACGCTTCCACACGCAGGTGGAGATGTGGAACGTGGACGTGATACGGAGGGAACTGAAATGCACTGATGCTGATGTGATGAAGGTCTGCAGGGAGGACATTGAGCCGGGTACGCTGCAAGGCATGCTTACCATCACCGACCACAAGCAGGTAGGCATCCCACATCATCAGGGTAAACATACAACAGCATGATGGTAATGAGCACAGAAATAATGACCCAAATAATCATAAATGTAAAAATAACTGATAAATAAGTTTAATTAGCTGCTCTTCATGTTGGCGTTACTCTCGCGGTATCCTGCGGTTTGTCACAGATCTAACTGTGTGGGACTGTTTATTCTGCCTTACAGCTGGTAACGGATGCAGCCTTCTCTCCGGATGGGACAGCTCTAGCCACGGCGAGTGCCGATGGCTATGTGAAATTCTTCCAGGTCTACATGGTGGTGGATGGACCGCAAGAACCCAGGTAAGCAATTGCCACAGTATTCCAGATAAAAGTGGCTGATGGGAAGCCTCGTCAGTTTGTGCCTGTGGTTTAGTAATGTCATATGGAGTTGATAGCTTTGCGCGTGCTGTGTGTGCTTGTGCGTTCACACAACTTTTGCGCGTTTGTGTTCGCTGTTTATATAAACTACTCATGGTCTCTTATTATTTTTTGTTTTCTAATGCGGTAGATTGCTGCATCAGTGGCAACCTCATGGCGGCAAACCTTTGTCTGCCCTCTTCTTCCTCGATAACCACAAAAAACCCAATCTAGAGTAAGTACCGAGTTAATGACACCCCAATGTGGCAGTTATAGACAGCCCAATGTAGAGTGAGTAATGAGTTATATGCACCCTTATGTAGACTAAGTACCAAGTTATAGACTCTCCAATGGAGAGTAAGTAATGAGTTATTGACACAGTAATATAGACTAAATGGGGGCTTATGTCGTGCTTGCGAGCCGACTCGACTGGAAGCAACTGGATTTCGAGCAACTGGAAGCGATCGGCAGCGACTTGTTGCGTCCAGTTGCCCACTGTTCTATTCTGAGCAACTAGTGGCGGCCAGTCGCAGGCAGTCGACCAACCTAAGCACTGCAGTCGCAAGTGAATTGCAGCCAGTTGCTTCCAGTCGAGTCGGCTCGCAAGCCCCTTAAGTACTGATATATTGACACCCCAATGGAGAGTACGTATTGAGTTGATATGTTGTTTAGGGTTCAGTTCTGGAAGTTTGCCATGACAGGAGCTGACAACAACAGTGAGATTAAACTGTGGAGCTGTGAGTCGTGGACTTGCCTGCAAACTCTCAGGTTTGTGTTTGTGTGTGTGCATGCGTTCATGAGTGTGTCTGTGTGTGTGTGTAAATACCTGCAACCAGTGTGGCCTTATGTCCACCTTAACCTCAAACGCCCCATTAAATTGCAATTGTAGTTTCTCTCATTTAGTTTGAGTTTCTAAGTGTTAAAATTTCATTCCCTCAATGAAAAGCTGTCATAAATCTTCGTAAACACTGTCATTTCTCGATTTCTACAAAAATGTCCCCAAAACACCACGTATAGTACAAACGAGCCTTGTAAATTAATGAATATAGTTTATTTTCGTACTATTTGCATACCCTGATGATGCACAGATATATATATATATATATGCACTGAAGTAGAGTTGCTCTGGATTCGATGTATAAATATTACTCCTCACCTAAGTCCTGTGGTGCTTTAATTTCTTGATGTAAACATCGGAAGGAAAGGCAGCTCTTGTGTTGAGTCTATCCATTAAAAATATGCACACAAAATCCGAGACAACTACTTTGATTAGGTACAGTAATGGCTTCCGGGAAGAGCAACTTTAATGTGCACCGGTGAATGAAACGTTTACTTATCTGTTGGCTGCATGTTTCGGTTGCCGCTAAGAAGCGACGATTTTTCATGTAACTAACAGCTGTTGTGTGTGTTTACAGTTTCCTGCCCTCACCTCAGGATGACATCCGGCCATGTCTAAAGGCCATGGTAGATCTTAGTGCAGATTACCTCATCATGTCAGACATGAACAGACGGGTGAGTAGTAGTTGGTGTGTACATGCTGCAGCTGTATCAGATCTGTGTCTGTGTGCGTGTGTAGGTGGTGTGTACATGCTGCAGCTGTATCAGATCTGTGTCTGCTGTGCGGCTGTAGGGGTGCCTGTAACATGCTGCAAGCCTGTATCAGCATTCTGACCCGCGCAGACCGGCCGGGCCGTCTGCGTGCGTGTGAGGTGGTGTGTACATGCTGCATGCTGTATCAGATCTGTGTCTGTGTGCGTGTGTAGTGTGGTGTGTACACATGCTGCAGCTGTATCAGATCCGTGTCTGTGTGCGTGTGTAGGTGTGTTGTAGCATGCTGCAGCTGTATCAGATCTGTGTCTGCGTGCGTGTGTAGGTGGTGTGTACATGCTGCAGCTGTATCAGATCTGTGTCTGTGTGCGTGTGTAAGTGGTGGTGTACATGCTGCAGCTGTATCAGATCTGTGTCTGCTGTGCGTGTGTAGGTGGTGTGTACATGCTGCAGCTGTATCAGATCGTGTCTGCTGTGCGTGTGTTAGGTGGTGTGTACATGCTGGCAGCTGTATCAGATCTGTGTCTTCGTGCCGTGTGTAGGTGGTGTGTACATGCTGCAGCTGTATCAGATCTGTGTCTGTGTGCGTGTGTAGTGGTGTGTACATGCTGCGTGCCGGTTATCAGATCTGTGTCTGTGTGCGTGTGTAGGGGTGTGTACATGCTGCAGCTGTATCAGATCTGTGTCTGCGCGTGCGTGTGTAGGTGGTGTGTACATGCTGCAGCTGTATCAGATCTGTGTCTGTGTGCGTGTGTAGGTGGTGTGTACATGCTGCAGCTGTATCAGATCTGTGTCTGTGTGCGTGTGTAGGTGGTGTGTACATGCTGCAGCTGCTATCGAGATCTGTGTCTGTGTGCGTGTGTAGGTGGTGTGTACATGCTGCAGCTGTATCAGATCTGTGTCTGTGCTGTCGTGTGTAGTGTGCCGTGTGTACATGCTTGCAGCTGTATCAGATTGTGTCTGTGTGGCGTGTGTAGGTGGTGTGTACATGCTGCAGCTGTATCAGATCTGTGTCTGCGTGCGTGTGTAGGTGGTGTGTACATGCTGCAGCTGTATCAGATCTGTGTCTGTGTGCGTGTGTAGGTGGTGTGTACATGCTGCAGCTGTATCAGATCTGTGTGTGCGTGTGCGTGTGTAGGTGGTGTGTACATGCTGCTGGGGTATCAGATCTGTGTTGGTGTGGTGTGTGTAGGTGGGTGTGTACATCTCGCCCGTCGGGAGCTGTGTATCAGATATGGTCTTGTGTGGTGTTGTAGGTGGCGTGTTGTACTATGCTGCAGGCGTATCGAGGATTTACCTTGGTGTCTGTTGTCGTGTGTAGCGTGGTGTCTACATGCTGCTGCGGTATCAGACTCTGTGTGGGTGTGCGTGTGGTAGGTGGTGATGTAGTCATGCGCTGCAGCTGTATCAGATCTGTTTGTGTGCGTTGTAGGTGGTTGTGTTATACATGCGTAGCTGTATGCAGCATGCTGTGTCTGTGGCTGTTAGCGTGCGTGTGTACATGCTGGCAGCTGTATCAGCATCTCGTCACTGTCTGCTGTGCGTGTGTAGTGGTGGTGTGCTACATGCATGCCAGCTGTATTGCAGATCTGTGTTCTGTGTTGCGTGCTGTAGGTGGTGTGTACCTGCTGCTGCGGTATCTAGATCATGTGTCTTAGTGTGCGTGTGTAGGTGGTTGTACATGCTGGGCAGCTGTAAATCAGCATCCTGTGTGTTGTGTGCGTGTGTGGTGGTGTGTACATGCTGCCAGCTGTATCAGATTGTGTCCGCTGTGCTGTGTGTAGGTGGTGTGCTATCGGCTGCTGCAGTATCAGATGCTGTGGTCTGTGTGGCGTGTGTAGGTGGTGTGCTACATTGCTGCAGCTGTATCAGATCTGTGTCTGTGTTGCGTGGTGTAGGTGCGTGTGCACCATGTTGCAGGCTGTATCAGATCCTATGCTTGTCCGTGTGTAGGTGGTGTACATGCTGCAGCTGTATCAGGATGCGGAGGGACAAGTGGCGCAAGTGAGCTGCATCAGCGAGTTTATCCTCGCGCAGTCATGCCTCAGTCTGGCCGCACTGGACGTAAGCCGTACAAAGTTCAAGAAGTCTGCCGACCGTGACAGCTTGGATGAGATTACCACAGGTACGTCGTTCACTGCCGGGAGTGCGTGTTGCGGCGTGGTTAGTGTGTATACATGCGTAGGTGGTCCGCGGATGTGTGGTGTGGTGTGTCGTGTCGGTGTGTACTTGCCTGTGTGCTGCCGCGTGTGTCGTGTGTGGTGTGTGGTGTCGTTGCGTGATCCCGTGCGTGCTGTGACCGTGCGGCGTTGCGTGCGTGCGTGCGTGCGTGCGTGCGTGCGTGCGCACGTGTGCATGTGTGTGTGCGTCTACATGTAATTGTTAGGAAGAAATCATTAGCTTGTGTGTGTGTGATGTTAGGGAGATATCCTTGGCTCACATGTGTGTGATTGTTAGAGGGATATCATTAGCTCACGTGTGTGTGTGTGTGTGATTGTTAGATACAAATCACTGGCTCACGTGTGTGTGTGTATGTTTGCTACAGGAGCCATCACCGATTCGCGCGACACAGAGGCAGAGTGTGAGTACGAGACACCGGACGGCAGCAGCGGTGTTGAGGCCGCTGTCTGGGTCGTTGCTAAGATCTACTCAGTCTTTCCCAAGATCCTGCAGGAGCTGCAGATACGATACGAACCGGCACTCTCCGCCACTCTATCCGCAGATGCAGGCTCACTGTCCTCCCTTTCCGTGGGAGACACAGGTGGCATGGATGAGCAGGGTAAGCAGGATGGTTGAGCGTATGAATGAGTAGACGGAGTGTTCGTATGTTTATACGCAAGAATGCTCATCTGCTTGTCGCACGTGCGCATGCTCGTCTGTTTGTCGCGTCACGAGACGATGGTCGTGCATTTGTCAGATGCTCATGTGTTTTTGTCGCGGCAGCGTTCAGGGACGGTCTGTCGGACATGAGCATGAACATGAGCATGGACGTGGCGGCGGATGCGGAGTGCGCAGCCTCCGTACCGAAGCCAGTGCTGCTTGGCCCGGAAGCCTTCAGGAGTTCTCCCGGAACTGGCGGCCATGACAAGAGCGCAGACAGCAGCAGTGGCTTTCCGATGGCCATCCCGCTTCGCAGCGTCTCGCCAACTGGCAAGCACGAGAAACAAGAGTACGTACATCACGTCGCATCCCTCCGCCATGTCGGCGGATATGCGCATGCACGCGACGAATTGTGTGGTGCTTACATGGCGTGAACACGCTTGTTTTACTCCGGGTTTTCTTATTTCGGTAAAATTTACATAGCTTTTACCGCGCGTTTTTTATTAGTTATTTTCATTAGTTTATTATTTTTAAGTTTTATGTCTCATTTTTCTAGCATTTCTTTAGTATTTTTATAGTGGCTTATCCATGTTCAATGGTTTAACTGCAATTTCATTTAAAATGAATGTAATTGTCTGGATGAATGATCAGCCAATCGTTTTTACAACTTCTCGACTGTATACATTATCAAAATGTTCAGTTCTCTCCAACGTGAGATGTGTGAGATGCATAAAACATCTTTTTTCTTTTTTTCTCAGGGTTTCACTTATAGATCTAGATGATCAAAATAACGGATCACTGGCAAGTTTTCACACAGCTGAATCAACAGCTAGCATGGTTGGTGTTGATGCGATCTCGTGCGATAACAATCGCCAAGGTAAGAAACTCTGGTGTTTGTTTTAATGACAAACCACCCAACGAATTCCTCTGCAAGTGGTAACACAGAAATAACCGATGTTACGGACGCAACGCTTTCCTGGACAATGCATCGGCGATGTGAAATCGCCCAACTCGAAACGCGTTCTCACATTTTCCAGTTTTGGACTCGGACGAGGCCGGACTTCCACGGGAGGGCGCCACCGCGGTGGCTGCGCCGACGACAGGGAAGCAACTGACGCGTGAAGATCGTAGCAGCGCCTCTAGCAACACCAGCCTGGAAGTCAGCGAAATACTCGAGGGATCCTCACGCAAGAAGAGCCCCGTATGTTGCCGTGGCAACCTAGAGATTGCGCTGCAACAACGTTCTCTTGTTTTTCCGCGCATAATCGACCGGGGGGCAGACCGTGTGAAACCGGCAGCTCCTGTTGCCATTGTTGGATAGCTTTGTTTTGCTTCTGGCTGTCATTATTATTGTGTGTGGCGGATAGGATGTCCCTATTCTCTGCTCTAATTACAGTGCGTATGTCGGCACGAGAGAAATGCTGGGTTGCGTGGTAGGACGAGACAGGAAACACCCTGGTCATCTCAGTTTTTAGAAAGTTATCCCTCCTGGACAATCGCCTCTAGTCAATCCCACTCCTGGAGTATATTTTTATAAAAACTGGAAACTTTTTGGAAAAATGTTTTGTCCTTGGCTGTATGAGGTGTGCCTTCCCATGTTCATAGTATAGAGGGTGTGATGCATTAGCGAGTGTTAGCCATTTCCCCTTGTCATCATCAGGTAGCTGAGGAGAGACCGAGTGAAGAAGCCCCTGATGAGGTGGAAATTGAAGAGGAGGTAGAGATAGTTGAGGACGAGGATGAGGAGGAGAGGATGCTACCTGCAGATGGCGCCGGCGGTGCGGCGGCGGCCTCGATTCTCCGCGACCCCTACGATTCTAACATCTGGCCACCGGCTCCAAACATTGCTGATCTGGACGTCTCTAAGAATCAGTAGGTGTAAAGTAGCCGTTAGTCGTGTAGTGACCGGCGTGGTGTTCCTACTTCTAGGCACCGTTAAGCGAAATAAGACTGCTATGTCTGTTCGAACATTGTAACATCTCAAATGCGTGCGCACGTGCATGCATGAATGCGTGGGTGCGTGCATATGTGAGTGTGCGCGTTCTTGTGTTGGTAGGTGCACGTGTGCATGCGTGAGTGTGTGTAGGTGTGCGATAAAGTATGTTGTTTTTGTTACAGCTCACCCTTGGTTGGGGTTCTGCACACTTCGTTTAACAAGTATCAGGGTGAAGGAGCAGGAGCAGGGTAAGACATTCATTTATGCATCTGCACGTTCATTTATTTTTTATTTTTTATTTTTTATTGTTATTTATTGTATTATTTCATTCATACGTTATTCAGTGCATTCAGTGCATACACTCATTGATTCGTTCGCTCATTCATTCATTCTTTTGTTCATTCACCATCTTTGTAAAGGTTATGTGACGTTTAAATAAACAGGGTAAACAGCGGATGGAGGCTCATGTTATCTTGGTGTGTATAGTAGTAGACTGGGCATTAGTCTATGTTATGTAGTGTGTACGGTGTAGTTGATATTAGGTCAGTTCCTCGCACTTCTGTCATTTGGCTGGCGTGTAATACTAATTGAGGAGTATTGGGTACTTACCGACATCTTGTGACAAGGTCAAGCAACTGACTAAAGATTGACAACAGATTGATGTTCGAAAGTGTGGAGTTAGTAAGTACATCAATGGTTTAACAGGAAATTTAATCATGTAATTATCATTAATTATTTATTGCCTGTTGCAGGGAACCTTCCGCCAGTAGAGTGGCATTCAACAAAGAGTCGTCGCCAAAGAAACCTGCATCAGTGAGGTATGTACGATCCTCATCGCTAGCTTAAAATATATCAACAGATGTGTGAATGGACTGACCTCTAGGGTAACACACCCGCTGCACTCCCCCTATGTAGGTTCGACGAGCGTATCACCCGCCACTATGCCATTTAGCTATAAAGTTAGTAGTTAACATTGATTTGAAATATATAAAAAGATGTGATAACTAACGTTTTTGTTTGATGGGTAATTCTGTGTCACTTTTTATTGATTTCTAGTGAAGGTGAAGTCTACTTGCATTCCAGTTTAAGTCCGAGGTTGTCTAGAGTTCAGCAGGATGATGTAAGTGTTGAAAATTGGAAAAAGTATTGTGTGCTACTGTCTGTGTGTGTTTGCGCATGTGTACGTGTATGTGCGTTTGTGCATGCGTGAGTGCTTTCATGCACGTGTGCGTGTGTGTGTGTGTGCGTGCATGTGTGTGCGTGCGTGCGTGTGTGTGCGTCTTGCGTGCGTGCGTGCGTGCGTACAGGCGCGTGTGTGCGTGCATACATGTGTGGTATAAGTGGGTACCCGGTAGGTGCTTGTGTGTGTGTGCGTGCGTGCGTGCGTGCGTGCGTGCGTGCGTGCGTGCGTGCATGCGGGTGTATGTGTGCGTTCACGTGTGATTGTGAGTGCGTGCGTTTGTGTATGTGTGCGTGTGCCATGCAGTAGCAGTAGTATCACTGACATCTCGTGTATCTATGTCATAGATCAGCAGACAACTGCTTGAGGTTCAGGCTATACTCAAGGTTCAGCAGTTGGAGCTGCAGGAACTAAGGCAGGAGGTGAAGCTATCGCAAGCAGCCAGCTCTTCTGCCGCAGGTTAGCTATCTATAACCGTTATCAATTCCTCATAACTTCATGAACTCTTTCACACCAGGGTGTTCATTCAGCAAGTTTTGACAGTGCAACAGCAAAATACTGAATGAATAAAAACCACTATCTTATCTAGGATTTCCACCAGGAAAGTAAATAGTGACTGTCTCCTTTCCAGCATAGCAGATCTTGTCCACAGAAAGGTGTAAATGTGCACATGTTTCCGGGGCCCTGCCGTACGTCCTAACACACGCATATCAGCTGTTATGTCATGTTTCAGGTGACTTGTTGCCATCCATCCGCTCACATCTCGACAGTGTCGGTGCTTCGATGAAAAAACACTTCGATCAGTCGTTAGCGAAGAGAGCTCAGGCCGACTGTATCCTTTCTTGTTGGCGCCCATCGACTGACGCACATCACCCTTACATGTCGCATAACATCGCTGTATCTCACAGAAGGTGCACCCTCAGTGGTGGCCTTGAACCCTTGGTGGTGGCTTTGCACCCTCAATAGTGGACGTTAGAAACTAGAAATTTCTTTAATAAGAATCACATGAGCGTTCACCTTGGAATCATTAGGTAATAAACACTTCAATGTCCGTCCATTATGTGACAGATGAGTAGGTTCGTTGATTGAAGCCTTTCAATGAAACCAAAGCAAGATGGTTTGGGAGACCCAATGCTCTGCAAATAGAGTCATTATCATAACATTGAACATCTTGGTGGTGTTTGATAGTGTTGCAAATCAGATTTCAAGATCCTGCACTGATTGCACAAAATTATCAATGAATCTTCAATCAGGTATGACGATAAATTATAACTTTAAAATAATAATAGTATTCCAATGTTTTAAATTTAAAAGTGGATATGTCAGATAGATGGCTGGGTCTTCACTGATGGTAGAAACTAGAAATGACTCACAAAATACACTTAAAAGTTCAAACTATCAACAAAGTATTTTCTATTGATTTTTATATCATTCAGAAGAACTGAATTTTTCATCGTGATAACTGATATGCCGCATTTATGTGTAGGGTGGTGTGACAAATGTCTAAAACTCTATTGTGATTAATTCACCCTGATTAATTAACTCAAAAACCATAAATGAGTGACGTTCGATGAACTTCATCGCTTGGAACGCGGATGAACATTTGCTGTGTTATTCCTTGACGATGTTCCGCAGCTCGTAGGTATGAACAGACACGAGCGGACGAACAACAGCTAGAGAAATCCCGCCAAGATCGCCTTATTGGCTCCATCAGCCACAACGTGAGTGGCGCTCTGTGCACTCAGCTAGAGAAGTCTGTCAAGACAGAGATGAAGAGCAGTGTAGTACCAGGTATGTAAACACGTTTACTTAATCAACAAGGTAAAGGTGTGTAAACAGGTGGTTTACTTAGTCAATGTAACTGTGTGTAAATGTGTGGTTTAGTTAATCAATGTAAAGGTGTGTAAGCATTTGTAATCAGTATACTGAAAGTAGAAGTGAAGTTTATGTGTTGTGTGCATGTGTGCGTGCGTGCGTGCGTGCGTGCGTGCGTGCGTGCGTGCGTGCGTGCGTGCGTGCGTGCGTGCGTGCGTGCGTGCGTGTGTGTTGGAGTTAGTTACTGGTATGACGATGTTTTCATTGTGATAGATCTGTCTATCTGAGTCAGATAACCATGTCCCCTCCCCTTCCATGGATACGTGCTTTTCAATCGTGCACACCAAAATGGTTACTTTGGGACCTCATAGGAAAAGGTTTAGCATAAGGTGACTTCTGACCTTATATACCCTTCTTCCAATTCTGCTCCCTCATGGCTACGGTTGCTGTTTATATGTGTGTCACCATGTACATGTGTCATACCTCCTCTCGGATGTATTTCAGCGTTAAACAAATCTCTTGAGCCAATGAAACAGCAGATACTCACTGACATATCTCAGAAGCTGACGACGACCGACTCGCTGCTAAAGGACAGTATCAGCAAGCTAGTGCGATCAAAGGTATGGATAACTTGTACACTGGTGAATGTTTGTTTTTGTATGAAATTGGGAGACAAGTAGTGCTTTGTTTCCAACATGTTTTTCATAAAAAAATGCAGGTTTTTCTAATCACTACGAAATGTAATATTAATATAAGTGTAATTTGTTGTGTAATTGCATTCTTTTCATCTTAGTTTGACAGTTATGACAAGGAAATTTGCTTGTCTGTTTTAATCGTAATTTTATAATGGTCTACGGGACAATATTAATGTTGAGACTAGTTTTGTTTCTGACGACAGGGCTTTGATATGCACGTCTTTGTGGCTGTTAGAACTAGACCTTCCTTTAGGGTTTGGGTGGTTGTCGCATTGTGGACCACACTGTTTATAGAGAGGGTTTGTATGGTTGTTGCGTTATGGACGTACCACCATTATGTGAGAGGGTTTGTGTGGTTGTTGCATTGTGGATCACCTTTAATAGAGAGGGTTTGGGTGGTTGTTGTGTTGTTGACTTCCTTTATTAGAGAGGGCTAATGTGGTTGTTGCATTAAGGACTACCTTTAATAGAGAGGGTTTGTGTGGTTGTTGTGTTGTTGACTTCCTTTATTAGAGAAGGCTCATGTGGTTGTTGCATTGAGGACTACCTTTTATAGAGAGGGTTTGTGTGGGTGCTGCGTTGTTGGTGCACTACCCTTTAACTGAAAGGGTTTGTGTGGTTGTTGCAGGGTACCGTGGATGCTATAGGACAAGCTGCTGGCCACGCCATACTGTCCACCGTCCAGCAGTCCTACCAGGACGCCTTCCACAGCAGCGTGACTCCAGCCTTCGAGAGAGCCTGCCAGAATCTCTTTGTACAAATGAACGAAACATTTCAGAAGGGAACAAGAGAGTGTAAGTGTAACAGAAGGAAGCGAATGTGTGTACATCGCATTTGTACATGCGTGCGTCTGTGTATGAATTTGTGAGTGTGCGTGCGTGTGCGTACGTGCATGTGTGCGTGTGTGTCTATGTGTGAATTTGTGAGTGTGTGGGTGTGTGTGTGCGTGCATCCATGCGTGTCTGCGTGAGTGCGTGCGTGTGTGTGTGTGTGTGTGTGTGTGTGTGTGTGTGTGTGTGTGTGTGTGTGCGTGTGTGCATGTAAGCGTGGTTGTCTAGCTGAGCAATTTAATGGACGAGGTGGTTTTACGTGTGCACGTCGTCGTCTCCCCCACAGACATGCAGCAGCTGGAGAACTACGCACAGAAGCAGACAAGGGCGCAGCAGGACGCTAAGGAACCAGTCGTTGCCGAGCTGAAGAAACAAGTGGCTGCCTTCCAGAAGAGCTCGGAGCAGCTGAGCTCACGTCTGCTTGACGAACTGCAGACGAACGTCAATGAACAACTACAGGGACTAGTTCCAAGGTGAGGAAAGAGAGGGGCGGTAGGGAGGTGAGAGGCAAGAAGAGAGATGAAGGAAGAGAGACGAGAGGAGGGGAGTGAGGGACAGGAAGGGACGAGAGGAAAGGCGAGATAAGGGAGGGGATATGAGGGAAGGGAAGGGAGGGAGGGAGGGGACAGCATCAAAGGTATGGCAGACTGTATCTTTTAGGCATGACGTCGTAACTGTGTGTGTATATTTCTGCAGCCTACAGGAGGCACTGGGTGCGCGAGTGTGCTCGCTAGTGAAAGATGAGCTTCAGCATGCAATGAAGGACCAGCAGGCCATCATTGGTGAGCATGAGACCCCTGTGTATACATAAAACATATGTAATAAAGAAAACCATAACTACACGCTACTAACTGCTAACATCATATTATTATAGTGATATATGTACAAGCTGTTAGATCCCACTCCATCCTCACTAGCTGATTGCCAGATTTTGGTGTTTTCTGTATCTTGGGACGTTACAGCTTTGATGCTAAATGTCAATTTTGTAGTTAATGATTTTAAAGTAACGAGAGGGTTAAAGATATTTTAATGTAAAGAGGAATTTTGCTAGGATCTTTCATTCTCGTTAACTTTGCAATGTGACTGTCAACGGTCTATGAGAAAAAGTTAATATTAGAACTAATGTTAAGACCAAATTTGGGCATGACAACTGACCTGTAGTTGATAAATCTGGTCCTGCTGTCAATGCGGCTGTGTTTACTAGTATATGAGTGTGGTGTGTGTAGGAGAGAGCCTGATGACTGCACTGAGGTCGGGGGCTGCCACGCCTGTTCCGACTCAGCAGCAGCAGCAGCCGGTCGTGAACGTGCAGCAGCAGAGGGAAGAGATTCTCACATTGCTGCAGCAGCGACACTTCAATACAGCCTTCCAGCAGGTCAGAATGTCTCCCTTTCTCTATCTCTCCTCTCTCGCTCTCTCTCTCTTTCTCTCTCTCTCTCTCTCTCTCTCACTCTTGCTCTCACAACTCTTAAAGATTCGATGCTTCAGTGAGAAGAACTTTTGTAAAAAAATAATCAGCAACAAAATAATTTTCTATTCCATACAAATAGTATTTCATAAGCATATTATCAACCCAATGCGCCACCCCGACCAGCTAAGACTTGGTGTTACTGAGGATAAGATTCGGTCATTGTGGTTGAGGCAGAGCCACGTAACTGTTGTTACATTCCACAACAGTTACAATTACTTACATCACAACTGTTGTACCATGTGCGTGTAGGCGCTGTCTGCGGCCAACCTCAGTCTTGTGATCTACGCGTGTGAGATGGCGCTGCCCGCACATCTGTTCGAAGAGTTGCCGTGTCCGCTGCAGCAGCCAGTGCTGCTTTCCCTCATTCAGCAGCTGTCTGCAGACCTCGTCAGTAACACGGAGCTAAAGCACAGGTAGGTGGCCACCACGCTGCAGCAGCAGTTGCTCACCTGACCATTATGGGCAGGATATTATTAATTAATAACTAGAATATTATTAGGGCATATTATAGGCAGGTTATAGGAAGCTGTCGTGAACCTGGACATGTCAACATTCAGTGACGTGTTACCTGATCCATTAATGTTGCATGTACGCGTGTTGTGTAGGTTCCTGGAAGAAGCCGTCATGAACCTGGACATGTCACACTCGGTGACACGCGAGCATGGGCCTGCCGTGCTAACCGCTCTGCGCCGCAAGCTTGCAGCCTTCATCGAAGCCCACCCTGGAAGTCCGCTGCATCGTGCGATGAAGATGCTGATGCTTGCCTCACAAACCATGCTAGCCTCCACCTCACCCACATAAGGGGGCCTCAGAAGGGAGGGGGGTAGGAGGCAAGCAGACCCCCTTCTCTCATACCACTTCCTCTTGACCCCTTCTGTTATACCCCTACTGTTTGACCATTGACCACATCTGCTATATCTCTCCCTTTGGACCCATTCTTCCATTACCCCCCACCATTCTCATCCTGGACTCCTTTTTCCACTCCTGATTGAGCATTCCTCCAGACCTCTCCCCCAGAGACCTTGTTCCATCCCCTTATCCCCCTGTACTTCCCACTTCTGTAATGGTGAGTGGATGGTGAAACGTTGAAGTCTTAAGTATTCGTGGTCGCTGTGCCTCTGTGCTGATGACACGTTCCAGCTGCTTACACTTCGGTAAAGATGTGTTTTTCACGATAGAGCAAGATGTTGCCGATCTGTTTGTGTAACAAAACAAACAAATAAACAAAATAGGAACCAGCGCAGGCATGTGAAATCTATGTAGCCTGAGAACAAGGGTCTAATGTCAGAAACGTCATAATACGCAAAATATAAACATTAAAAATAGTTATGACATCATGAGTCTAAATTTTCATAATGCTTTAAGTGATTTGTCATGCAAACTTTATGTCATTTTAGACTACACTTAATTTAGTCATAACTGTTTGTTTCTGACAATAGGCCCAAGTGATAATGATTTATATAAGTGATTCATATGGGTTCATATGCCGCATAATCGCAAGAGCATATCAAATGCGAGAGCAAGCAACAATAAAAACTGAAAAGCATGTCATAGTTTTAGTCTAAATAAATAATGTTGCACACATTTCTAGCTGCGTTAATCACATTTGCTGCGTGGTTATGCACGTCTAGCTCTGGAAAGGAACGTGGCAGGGACAAGTGCATGAACAACTTTCGTCTTTTTTAATCAATCCAGCATAGCTGATTATTACTGAAGTACATTATTCAAAATACAAAAATAACATTACATTATTCGACTGCAACTAAAACACGGTTTCCCAGTTTTTATCTTTGTTCACTCTTGGATTTGTGCGTTACGATAATAGGATAATCGGTGATCATTTAATTATATTGTAATCATCATGGCATTTTATCTGAGTAATGGCACATCTAGCCCTCTGGCATACCATCTCTCTAACGTTAGGTCTGTGCGCAATTATGGCAAGCATCAAAATTCTGCCCTCAGAACCATTACACTGATGAAACACTAGTAAACCTGCACGATAGAGATTATTGGTCTGTCTGTAGTGTATGGCCGTATGTGTATGTGCGTTCCCCTTCCTACCTTATCACGTACCCAATATGTACATGTATCTATGTATATAATTTTAAATGCTTATAATTTTACCTGCCTATAGTGGTTTATATTCGTACCGGCAACCGCAAGAGTGAGATAATATAATAAATGACACTCATATACGAGGGTTTACAGTGATTCAACTATACATCTCATTTTTTTTATATGTCTAGTGTATAAGATATAGCTGTAGCAATGCACCTTGCTGTTTTTGTGCCAGTTTCATCTTTTCAAATTCTGTTTAAAAAATAAGGTTAACGTACGTCAGCTCGCATGGGCAGTTTATCATTTTGGCCGAGACTCGAGCGGAGCAGTAATCGATAAACGTATTTTTTGTGTTCGAAGAGAGCCTTAGATTATTTTCTGTGACGCCACGTGTTTGTGACGGACCGACATGCTCGGGATACGTTCGGCACCCTGCAGTGACGCGTTTGTTTGGAACGGATGGGACTGATCCTGGTCACTCGATTCTGATTTGCCCAAATGCAAACACACCTTCGACAGTTGTGGATATACCTGTTATTGTAACCTAGTACAGTATGGTTTGTAACTATAGCAGCAGCAAGCACTGATTGGCTGAGTCTCATGTGCTGCCATCTTGGATCACTTGAATCCACATTACAAGCAGGATTGACAATTCTTGACTCGGATCACGAGAGCCACCCAAACGAACACGTCCTAACGTTATCATTATCAACTGCCTCGTGATAGGCATTTATTGCACATAGTATGTGAGCTGATAGTGGGAACGACGACAACTGTTGATATGGTGAACTTGTCTTGAGGTGCCATGCCGCACAATTACTGTATTATCCTGTTTTGGTTTCCTGTTATTATCCACTATTATGGTTTCTATGATCAGTGCTCATTTACAATGGTCGGTTTCGATCAGTGGCTGGTTGTATTTGAGTTTGAATATATTACTTGTCAGAATAAGTCTGTTGCATTTGTAGTGTTTTTACATGCACTTTTCGCAGAAATAATTTGTGATATTCACTTTGTAAAGTGTCCTTTTTCATTGTAGTGGAAAAGATACGGATTCACACATACAATGTCATAGTACATTATATCGTATGAGCACCATCTCGCACAGATATAATAACTTATATAATTGTGCAATGAACAGAGTCCATGTCCATAATAACATTTATCTGTTACTGAATTAATTTATCCTCTTTACATCTCGCGAGTAAACCAACCTTCTCTTCTTTTAAAGTGGGTTCTCTGAACCTAGTATATAAGTAATTCAACATTTCAATGGTTACCTTTTCCCACATTTTTTTAATTTTTGTCATGTGTTACTGCATTGTTACCAACGCGGCGATTTCGAGTGGTTGTTCCACAGCATTGCATCAACGTCAATCAGTTGGAGGGAAAAAGAAGTGACAGACAAACAGTGACAGTGTCAGTTTTCTGAACAGGCAACGAGATCATGGCTATGCTTAGCATGCCATGTAACACTAAAGATTTGGGTAGTAATCGTAATTTGTATTTATCATTTTATTACTGGAACGGCTAGTGTCCCTGGAGTGTTATCGGCATAAGCATACTCCACATAACCACTACTCTCTGTGCAACAGCTGTCAATAAAAGTAGACGAACATCAATTTATATCGCGTGTACATAATATAATATATTATTTACTTAATATTGGTATTACAATATTTAGTTGGGTAATCAACATATCAGATGAGATTCCAACACGTATTCAATTTATCACACGTTATATATAACAAAGTTTTTATGCAGAAAAATATACACCCTCATTGTCAATAACAAAATATCCATTGTAACGAATATAACCCGGGATTGCATGTACATTAAACCAACGTATGTTAATTGACATTATATCGAGTTCATGATACAACTAGAAAGGGCAGTTGTCACCAACTACATGTATCCCCCGTGTTCTCCCCAAGATGTGTAAGTATACGAAGTTTGGTCGCGCTAGGTCAATTAGGGGCCGAGTTATAGAGCGGAAGGGAAATATGATGAAGGTCAAATAAAGGTCGTAGTGACTTGGTTTTGGTAGCGCTAGGTCAATTAGGGTCCGAGTTTTATAGAGGGGAAGGGAAATATGATCAAGCGTCAGAGTAAAGATCAAATAAAGGTGGGTAGTGACTTTTGTGTTTGTAGTCGGCTAGGTTCAATTAGGTCGAGTTTTTATAGAGGAAGGAAATATGATCAAGGTAAAGGTCAAATTAAAAGGTCGAGTGGACCTGGTTTTGAGTCATGCTGTGGCTCTTCATCCCAGAGATGTGGTAAGTATAGCCAGTTTTGGGTAGCGGCTAAGTCAATTAGGCGACCGAGTTAAGAGAGCGTTAACGGGAAATATGATCAAGGTCAAGGTAAAGGTTAAATAAAGGTTTGCCAGTGACCTGGATTATTGTAACGCTGCTCACCTTCTCCCCAAGATGTGTAAGTATACGAAGATTGGTCGCGCTAGGTCAATTAGGGGCCGAGTTATAGAGCGGAAGGGAAATAGGATGAAGGTAAAATAAAGGTCGCAGTGACCTGGTTTTGGTACGCTGCTCACCTTTTCCCCAGGATCTGTAAGTATACCAAGTTTGGTAGCGCTAGGTCAATTAGGGGTCGAGTTATAGAGCGGAAGGGAAATTCTCTGCGGCAGACCGAGCAGCGGCGGCGGCGGCTGGGGAGACAGGAAACCATAATGATAGTATCCCCGCCGACTTTGTCGTGGGGGATACAATTGACTAGTATAAGAAATCTTAACAAGCAACTGTCTCTCGGCGAAAACGCATGAACATAAAACAGATTGTTGTCGATGAGCCGAGCTCCTAATTACGCAATGTTTACGTTAAACTTTGTGACCAGATTCCAATAAGGCATTTCTAACTTACACCCACCTTGTTCGCACATGTATGGTTTGGTAAAACGACATAATGAAGGTTACCACGTTGGCCATACATTCGCACGGAAGCACTGTCACCAATAATATAACACTAATTCATTCATTTTTATACATCTATAATCAATATAGCATACAATACCGATGCATCTGTACCATCACAGTATATTTTCAGTTGTTCACAGTATATATATACAGAATGTAAATGACGTGCCAGCTATACAGTAGATGGAATCGCACACCACGTACGCAGTATGTCTTACCTCATCACAGCTTGTCACAAGCGTTCAAAGGTATCTTCAATCAAACAGCAGGGGGCAGCACGGGTGCTCGGTGGCCAGAACTACATCGATGTTGTACGTCTCGGCGACGCGTGAAATGAAGTCGCGGTCTGCACGTGGGTGGAGTCCGATGCTGCGCATGTGATTGGCTGTCAGTCGTCTGTCATGTGATGCAGACGCCTCGAGCAACGTGCGAAACAATCGCTCATTCAACTCCCTGAAGAACCTGCTGCACACAAACGGTGAAACAGTTGATGGCAGAGCAGCGACTGTCCAGCCCTTACTGCCAATGAACACACATGTTAATGCTGTTATCACATACATACACACACACACGGAGTCACGGACACACAGACACAAAGACACGCACGCAAGCACACACACACAAAGACATGGACGCACGCACATACACACAGATGCACACACACACGCATATACGCACACAAATTCAGATATAATATTATACAGATGTGTTTATGCTATCACTTTGATAGACGTAGACAATATTTAAAATTGACAAAGACAGCTAGAGCACTTGTTGAAACTGACTGTTGCTAATAAGTTAATTACATGGATCTATCATGAAATCAAATTGCTGTTAATATTATCATGGATATCGCATAATCACAATTAGAAGCAGTGGTGACAAAGCCACCGGGAGCTGTGGCGATGGCTGGGTATGCAATGGGAGATGTAGATGCACATGAGAACAGACGAGGGATTGCCACTTGTAACACAATGGCACGCAACGACTTCGCACGCATATACTTACACAATAAATGTGTCTTCATCATCGAATGAATCATCCTCAGTTTTTTTGGAAGTCCCAACGCTTTAAATATGAATTAAATATAACCATTAAAATTACTTATTTATAAACTGCAAATCACAAAAACGTCTAAATAAGGCTTTCTATTACATGATAATAATACTTCTATGTAATAAGTAACCAAGGTCACCTATTTATCTAAGATATACCTGATTTTGTTTAGTTTCTTGAATTTGTTCCTGTCAGAGCTGTTGACATGGTTGATGTTTTTCAGTGTCGGTGAATGCGTAAGTAATTTCTCTTTGTCAATGTAGACATCAAACAAGCGTGTTTTTGTTTCAAATATCTTTTCTGTTGTACCTGTTACATCATTTAATGAAATATTTTTAAACATGTGATATTCCAAGCTCAAACACATAGACAGACATAGTAAACTTAGGTTGTAGAAAGAATCACTTGCTAATTAGAAATTCAAATAAATACATGAACTAAGGAATGACATTTTTACTTAAAGATTAATTTATTTGAATGCGTGCTTCAAATTCTTTACAATTTATCTGCTTGTCCAGTAGAATAACCACATTGCATCGAAGAGCAAATGAAAATTATTTTACCAGAGTGCATTGAGCAGGATTGCACCCAGAAGGAACCACTCACAAGCAATGTAGGAGATTTCCTCCTCTATGGATTCAATGTCAGCCACATTCACATAGAATAGTGGCTGAATAGGAACCAATGACTCAGACAGCCCAGCAATGCCATGCTCCACCAGACACATTGCACAGTACACTGAAATTCAAATAACATGTAAAATCATAACTTTTATCAAAGTGAATCATTACCACAATGATGCCTTTTCCCAGAATACTTCAACAAACAAGTGGCATTTAACCAAACTCTACTGATGCCTTGTTGACTTTATGCACTGATAAAAAGGTCTGTATGTTTTTACAGAAATA